TCTTTAGGATGGTTTTCGTGGAACAGCGTTCACGAATGTGAGGTTAGATTTGTTCCAGAGTTCTTCGATGGAAGGTATCCCTCTAAGAACCCTAGGGTTTACAAGTGCTACAGGAATGCCATCATTAGGCGATTTCGAGAAAACCCCACCAAGAAAATTACTTTCACTGAGGTCAGGAAGACCATTGTTGGTGATGTGGGGTCTATTCGGAGGATATTCGATTTCTTGGAAGCTTGGGGTTTGATCAATTACACCGGTTCTTCAAAGCCACAGTTGAAATGGGAAGAGAAGGAGAGCAAGTCGGCAACAGCCACATTGCAGGGTAGTGATGCTGCCGGCGGCAGCGGCACCAATGTTACAGTTTCCAAGTCAAAGCCCTGCAGTAACTGCAAGGGTGTTTGCAGCTTTGCTTGCTTTGCCTCTGATAAGGTACTTAGTGCATGTTTGGCACCCTATTCAGTGTTATATTGTCTATGGATATTCGGTGCTATTAATAAGATAGCTTTGTGTATCAGATAGGAATTCTTATAATTTAGCTTCTACTACCAGTCATTGGTTATCCTTGATGCTTACTGCTTGTGTAAAGCAACTGTATTTTCTTTTAGCAATTATATTGTAGATTTCTGTATTCTGCAATATACCATTTTAATGCTTCTTTGCATCTCTCAAAGTCATTTGCTTTACTTGGTAGTCATCATCACTTTAACTTATTAATATTTGAGAGCAGAAAATTACAGTACTGTTTGTAATCATTGTGTAGCGTGATGTGACACTTTGTGCGAGGTGCTATGTGCGGGGTAACTATAGGGATTCTTCGGAGTTTAAGAGGGTCGAGATCAGTGAAGAGGCGAAGACAGATTGGACAGATAAAGAGACTTTGCAACTTCTAGAAGCTATTATGCATTATGGTGATGACTGGAAGAAAGTAGCAGAGCATGTTGGCGGTAGAAGTGAGAGGGAATGTGTAACTCACTTTGTAAATTTGCCATTTGGTGAACAGTTTGATGGGCCTCCAGAATCTGCTGAGCTGGATACTGCATTAAGTTCGCAAAATCTTTCAAGACCAGCAAAACGGACGTGTCTTTCACCCCTGGATGATTCAAGTAACCCAATTATGGCTCAGGTAGCAACTCCCCGTTTGTTGGTTTGAAGAATGAATTCTTAAAATTTGAGATTAGCTAGTGCTAAAACAAATGTAACATGTGGTTTATTGATATTGTCCTCCTGCTTCGAGTTTAGTAAGTCATTAGGGGTTATTAACAGCCCAAAAGGTATGTCTCTGGAGATAAATAACATGGCATATGTCTTCTGGGCAATTTAATGCTAAGGGTGCGGTTTGAGGTATATGGCAATTTTAGCATAATCAGGTTACTGTCTTATCTACAACTCTTTTTTCTTCATTCGAAGATAGTTAAGTGAACATGTATTTTTCCTATATTTCTCATTGTTCTCTTTCTACATTTTTTTTTTTTTTGGTGTTCTAAAATGGTTAACATGTATTTTTTTGCTATGTTCCTCGTCCTTGCACTCCTATGTTGCACTTAAGCCAGTCAAATAAAGTTCATTATTATCTGTTTTGGTTCTCTACATTTGCTCTTGAGCAAATTTTTCTTTCTATTATTGATGGTTTTGCCTTTGCTTTTTATGTTGATGATATTTCATCAGGCTTATTTTCTCTCCACTTTGGTTGGAGTAGATGTTGCAGAAGTCGCAGCACGTGCTGCTTTAGCTGCTGTTTCTGCTCTCAGCGATGGAAAACTTAAAGAGTGCTTGAAACTATCCTCTGGTGCTGCCAAACAGCAAGGTATGAGCTATATCTATTGTGAGTTATGGATTAGACAGGAAACTAATGGTTATGCTCTACTATAACTGTAAAAATTCAAGTCTTTAAGCTCTGTTGGAATTTGCATTGGTTGATTTTCTTTAAGATTTCACTAGATGATCTAATACAATTATTTTACGTGTTTCAAAATTAGGGCAAAGAAAGGGATAGCTAATCTATTGGAACTCGTTACATATCTGTTCTGTTGGATCAGGCAGTGAATTTTAATTCCTCAGAAAAGGACAACTAATATATTGAAACTCCTTACTTATCTGTTCTATTAGATAAAGCAGTGAATTTTAATTCCTCTGAAAAATGTCTGTAGTGTCTGTTTACAGCTTAATAGTCCCTCTTCTTGGAAACTTTGTATTGGTCTTTGTATAATCTCACGACTGAGTACATAGTTTGTATTAAACTACTACTAGGCAAGAGGGGAAAAATAAAAATTGCGATCAATGCATGCACAGTGCATGTGCTGCTAAGAGTAAATGTTTTTAAATGAAAATTTTTATTATTAAATTTCTAAATAATGAAATCAACTCATTAATGCAACGTCATTGAGCAAAATGAAATGCTTATTTCCTATGAAAAATAAAAGAGAATATTATGTTGAGATTTCAATTCAAATAATGAACCCACTTGTGAACAACATGCTGAGACCGTTTATGTTTCAATATCACAGTCATCTCTGAAAGTTCAAATGGAAAGGAAACGCAAAATAGTTACTCCACATATTACTATATCTTACACACGAGTTTCGGAGGGATTATTTGGGGGGTGCACAAATTACCACAGATTATGAAACTATAAATTTTCTTTTGAATTAAAATAATTTGAGATCTCCATGCTGAACAATACTATAAATGTGAAAGATTAGTTGTATGATTTCATGTAGATATGCTTTTGATCAGATTGATTACAATGAAAGCCTTTTGTTCACGTTCTCAAAATATGTTAGAATTCTTAACAAGTGAGAACAAAGGCATCTAGATTGCCAGACACTGTTAAGGCAGTTTTAAAAGGTTTTCCCATAAAGTTTCAAGTATCAACTGATATGACTTTTCAACATATGTATATAATGTGCTTAACTATTCTGCAAGTATTGTAATCAAAGAATATAACAACAGAAATTAATTTACATGTAGCTGAGAAATGAGAGAAGATGCAGTTGCGCAAACTCTATAGATTGTAGTTTGGTTAGCGACTCAAAATCTACTATTAAGGTAGTTAAGGACTCTAAACCCACCCATAGAGTACTAAGACCTCTTTCTTTCGCTGGTAAGGTCAAGCCAAGTTATACAAAAGTGGAGTTAGCTACAACAACCATTCATAGGAGTGCAAAACGAAATTCCAGCTCACTTGGGGTCTCTGAGCCCAGCTTGTAGCAAGCCAAAAGTATGACTTGAGCCTGAAGGCTTTACTTACAAAACATTGAGTTATTAT